ACCCCTAAAGCCTGAACCCGAAACTCAGATCGAGCTCAGCCCCAAACCCCACCTATAGGCTCCATTGTAGTTCCTTTCTGGGGCTACCTTATAGAATCCTTAATATATAGTTGGTTACGGTTTAGGGTTTAGGGTTTAGGGTTAAACCAACAAAAGGAACTACAATGGAGACTATAGGTAAGTCCTAAGCCCGGAAGCATCACTCCGAAACCCCCTGTCGTCGCCTCTTCGAAGTCGTTGATGGTGGTCTCCAAATCCACGAACGCCCCGGGAGTGCCGGTGAAGATCTCAGCCACCTGGGCTTAGGTTTTAGGGTTTAGGGTTTGGGGTTTAGGGTTTAGGGTTGAGGGTTGAGGGTTTAGGGTTTAGGGTGCAGGTCTGCGCTAAGGCTCCAAGCTTAACGGTTTAATGCAGGGGCGTCAAGAATTAGAACAGGGTTCTGGGCTCCTTTGAAATATATACTTATAATAAGGGACCCGACGGATCAATACTGATAATTATGTGGGCTTCTATATTATAATTTAGAAAGCGAAGCCCCAAATTCTAAACCCTATACTGCTGTGTTTTAGGATCTCGCCCTGCGCTCTCGATCTCTCGTTGGTTTTCTGTCGTATAGTTTCTTGGAGGGTTGCAGTTTTAGATTAATGAGCTATTTGGGTTTAGGGTTTAGGGTTTAGGGTTTAGGGGTTTAGGGTTTAGGGGTTTAGGGTTTAGGGTTTTGTTTGGGTCTTCTGCCCATAAGAGCATCAACCAATGGCAGGGCCTGCTCTGTCTCCAAACCTCTAAGGAGCTCGGGAGCAGAGCCGCAGACAACATGACCTAAACCCAAAGCCCGTTTAGGCTTTAGGGTTTAGGGGTTTAGGGTTTTAGGCCCTAAACCCTAAGCCCTAAGCGCTAAACCCGAAGCCCTAAACCCTCAAAAGCCCCAAGGTCAATCTGGAAAATCCACGACCACTGAACAGTCCGGAACACAGGTCCTAAAGACATCTCCCGAACCCGAAGATCAACTCGAAGGAGGGTTTAGGGTTCAAGGTTTAGGCTCCCATACCTAAACCCGGAACCCTGAACCGCAAGCCCTAGACTTTAAGAAAGGGTTGTGGGCGTTCCCTTAATGTGATATGTTCGGGAACCATGTAAGGAATAATCGCCTTGCAATCAGTCAGGCCCCATTAAACAAAAGACTCTATAAATAGCCGCGTGCTTGGCTCCCGGCAAAGAAGGGCTGGGACAAGAAGCGCTGGACCTGGTCAAGGGTTTAACATAGGGGCCTTACTAGTTAGAAGAGGGTCCTTATCATACATATAGTATAATAATACCACCCAAACCCTATTCTGATTATTAAGGCCCTTATATTGGGGTTTAGGGTTAAGGCTGCTGCGATCTTCACCAAACCCTTACTTACCCGTAGGGGCTGAGTACCCTAGTCCAAAACAGGTTAACCTTGTCAGGTGTGGCCGGATTGTAGTAAACCCCAAAAAGGTTGGAAACCGGATTAAGGACACATAGTGCTGGGATTCCCTATACATTACTCTTAGGGATTCAGGCTATTGAGTTTCCAACTTTTGAGCTTCTACTGTTTCTGGACCCCATAATGTAGAAGGTCACCTACTCAGCTTCTAAGTAACAGGTCTAGGGCAGTTTAGGGTTTACAGTTGAGGCTTTGGACCTGTTGAAGAGACTCAAAGGGAAGCATGACCCACATAAAGGAACACGAGGTAGGCTTGATGATATAAATCCTGCATTACCCATAATAAGGAGTATACCATAACTCCTATAGTTTAGGGTCCTTGAGGTAATGCAGGATGTATATCATCAACAGTATCACTAGGTTGCCATTGATTGAGAGCCCGGAAGTTCGAGACAGCCTCGCGGTGCTTCGTTTCCTGAACCCCAAACCCGACTTCGGGATACTGGGTGTCCGAAGGTTGGGAAAGTTCGGGGCTGAGCACCCTAGCCCAAAAAGGCTAACGTTTAAGTTGTAGTAGGCCCTAAACCCTAAACCCTAAACCCTAACGTTTAAATCATAGTGGGACCATGTACTTGAGCTTGAGGCCCAAAGGTTAAACGTTGCTTACTCAGCTACTCAGGAATGGCCCAGAAACCAATTTTGCACAAAGCCTCGCCTTCAGTTCTAGGGTTAGGGTTTAGGTTGTAGGTTACTTAGACTTCTTGCTAGGTTGGCTCTTCTACATGCCATGAACGATATTCAAAAATAAGATTCTCTTACGCCCACTACGGGAAACTTTCCCTCAAGGCCTACCTGGCTGGGGCTTGGGGCCGACCGAGAAGACTGAGCCACCCTGTGCCAACATCATCAGAAAACCCCTAAACCCTACACCCCTTAAAATTTTAGAGGCTAGAAGAAACCCTAAAGCCTACGCCCTACACCCTAAAAGCTTAGAGACTAGAAGCCCTACACTGCTAAAACACACCCCAAACAGCCCTAAACCCTAAACCCTAATCCCTAATCCCTAAACCCTAAATCCTAAACCGTAAACCCTAAACCCCAAACCCTAAACCCTAATCCCTAAACCCTAATCCCTAAACCCAGAATGTCGTGAGGCCTTGCGGGCTCGAGCCACAGTCAGCTTGTCCTCCTCAGAAAGCTCATCCATACCCAGGATCGCGATGATGTCCTGCTTTTAGGGTTTAGGGCTTAGGGTTTAAGGAGTTTCGGGATAGGGGGGGTTTAGGGTTTCGGGGTTTAGGTTTTAGGGATTAGGGTTTAGGGTCTAGGGAGTTTCGGGATTGGGGGGCTTGGGGTTTAGGGTTTAGGGGTTCCAGTTGTGGGGTTAATTTCAGCCTGTTTCAGCAACAATAACTCCAACCCCTCTGCAGCCACTGCGGTGCTAGAACTCCACTCCTAAACCCTAGACCATAGATGCCAAACTGAGCGGCAAACCGTGAACCCTGAACCGCCAGAAACCGTACAACCCTGAAGCCCTAACCCAAACCAACTGGACCCGAAAACGCAAAAGCCTCAAGATTCGTGACTTCCCCGGCTTCTTCGGCTCTCCTGCAGAGACTTGTAGTCCTGCAAAATCTTCTGCGTGCTGCGGGCAATGTCGTAGTGACCTTTCATATGGAATGCCATGTAGAAGAGAGTTTGCTGTGTTCGTGAAAGAGTTAGCAAGAGCAGTTTGAAACTACTGAGACTGAGGCTCTTAGGCAAATGGGCTTCAAGCCGAAAATTCTAGAACCCTACACGCTGCGACCCGAAAGCTCTAAAAACTAACCTCGCTCAGGGTTTAGGCTTTAGGGAAACCTAAACCCTAAGCCCTAAACCTAAGCCCTCAACTCTGAAACGCAAAGCTCGAAAACCCGAAGCTCTTTAACCGCCAGGAGTCGTTGTCCGACGATCGACGGGTCAAGCATTCGGGACCTGCTTGGCAAACCGGTAGCACTTCCGGTTTTGGGGGTTTAGGGTTCTTTCGTTTCGTGTTTGGTTTAGGGTTTAGGGGTCTAGCGTGTTTGGGGTTCTTTCAATTAGGGTTCTTGTTCCTCGTAGCACGTCTTGAGAACTCAACAGGCTGCCCCACATTCCTTCGGTGGGGTTTCGGGCACCTCCGTTGCCGCAGTTTCGAGCGTTCTCGTTCTTGTCATCTGTGCAACCGCAGTTTCCGAGTCGTCCGGTTTTTGTGAAGAAAACCAGCACGGAACTTGCTCTCAAACTTGTCGTTAGAGTCACGACTGGTGAGCACTAGAAACCATAAAACCCTAAAGCCCTAACCCCTAACCCTAAACCCTAAAACCCTAAAACCCCCTAAACCCTAAAACCATCCTAAACCCCTAAAACCCTGAACCCTTGTCTTCTCTTCTCAACATCCCTGGGCTGAGCATCGCGCGTGGAGTCCAGGGGATCCACAGCTGGGTAGATTCCAAGTTCCGCAATCTGGCGCGACAAAACCTTGGAGGCAAAGTCAAAGTGAAGAACATATCTATATCTGTATCCATATAAATAAGCAACAGAAGTAACTATATATATATATAGATAGATAGATATAGACAGATAGCTAGCTAGCTAGATAGACAGATAGATAGGTTCGGGAGCCTCAGTTGAGCAAGAACCCCGTACCCAATGACTCTCTTCTTCAACAACCAACCCCCAAAAAAGTTCAAACTTTTTAGGATAGACCTAATATATACAGCCAAAAAAATTCAAAATTCTCCCATTACCCTAAACCCTAAACCCTAAACCCTAAACCTTAACCTTGGCTATCTAAGATGAATCTCTAAACCTGAAGCCCACCAGCCGCAACCCTAAACCTGCATCCTACTCTACCCGCAGTTTGACCGGCTTCGGGGCCGCTTCACCGGCACAGCAAGCGAAAGGCCTCAGGATATTAAATCCCAAGCTTTTTAGGGTTTCGGGTTTAGGGTGTAGGGTTTAGGGTTTATCGAGAATTTTACTTTGAACTTCAGTAAACAATGGTTTAGCACAGCAACAGGACGAGTGACACACCGCCATCTGCAACATTATCACTACCTGAGCTGCTATCAGGCTCCCCCTTCTCCTCCTCCTCCTCCTGCTCCTCCTCCTCCTCCTCCTCCTTCACCTC